ACGTCACTGATGCCATTTTGCTCAAACGTTGTGTTTCGGCGGCCTATTTAAATTGTACTTTTTGTTTTTAAGAAATACGTGAATAAAAAATGATTACTTTGTGTGGCAATTGTAAACACCACTAAATAGTCAGAGATGGTTTTCAAAAATCGGTCAAATAGCGTATTATTATTAGTAGAAAATCTACGATCATTTTGATTAATAGACAATTTTCTGACCATTTCAGTCTACGCGTATGTTGTGACACGTGTATTCCTTCTGTCAATTTATAATTTGTTGTACGGATCCTAGTGTTGATAGTTCGACGCTCAGGCTGCAATTCGCAATAATGGCCAGAGATTTGTTTAACAAATATTGACAGTTACGTGTACATGCATAACATTTCAAATCAACTAACCTAACTAGCTAACTAAAGTGATATGGATATCTATATACGTGGAAAACATGAATTTTATGATATTTATACAACTTAGAATGGCAAACAAGCTGCAGCCCACCTGATGGAATGTGGTAACCGTCGCCTATAGACATGAGCAGTACCATGGATATAACAGAGAATATTAACAGGTGTTATTCCTCTGTACCCAGTAAATTCATGCCATATCACCACCCTTCAAACCGAAACACAGCCATGCAAACAACTGCTTTACGGTTGAAACACGAATGTGTGGTTAGAGACAATGGTGCTTTAGAAGCCGTGTGGCTGTATGCAGTGTAGTTGTAGTTGATTGTGAAGGATTAAATAAAAAATATATATTGTTAAAAAAACAGACATAAGTTTTAAAAACAACAGCGATATTTAAGGGTATCTTAAGGCTTCTTCAGGGGTTTTTTTTTTGTTGGATGAAAATGGATTGGTAACCCAGCCCGCGCAAACGGGATACGTTGGCGGAGCACCAGTGAAGGGTGATCGATGAGAATGAAAACAGGCCAGTTAGCCTATCATGATGAATTCATCATGAAGAATCAATCATGATAGTTTCCAGGTGGAAGCGCGTGGAGGTCGACCTAGTTAAGTATATTGCTAGTAATGGGATTCTCAGTCTCCATTACTAACAATCCCTTTCCCCCCAATATTCTATATTAAAAGGAATTACTACAATAATTACGAGAGAACATTGATATTTCTATCTTTGGCCTTAATAATATACTTTATTGATGACAGTTTTAGACAAATATGGAAATAAATACCGTGTAGTCTAGACATAGAATGGGCCATCCCTTCCTTTCTCATGAGTGTCGTATGAGACGACTAAAAGAACTAAACACGGTAAGAGATCGATATAAAATCGAAGTCCAACCGCCTACCTTAATACTGATACTAGGTTTTCCAATAAACTTCTTCCCACGATATGGGTATAGAGTTTTTCCACTCCATACCCAATTTATGGGAAGCCAAAGGGTTGTTACAGCATGCTATGATATTACAAAAGTGTATATTTTTTTTATGGGTGATAATGGAATGGTAACCCCACCCGCGCTATCAGTATACACCGGCGGGGCTCATCGTGACAAGTCCACAAGAATTAACCACGATGGTTTCCAGGGGGAATCACGTGAAGGTCGACCTAATAGGGCATATTGTTAGCAATGGGGCTGTCAAACTCCATTGCTAACAATCCCTTTCCCCCCCCAAAAGTGTATGTTACCATCCCAATACAGAATTTAATTTAACAACCATGTTCATGGCACATAATTATGGTATATTAATTGCAACCACCAAAATGGTTCTCATTGTGTTCGAGCAAATACGTCCCTATAATCAGGAATTCAGGGATTAATTACACCGGCGGCGTCATACTACGTTTCAGTTTAAACTAATTTTCGGTTTGCAATACTTAATCGAGTTGGCTGGTTAAGTTAGCTGGCTGTGCGGTCTGTCGAAATATGCATATTACAAGTGGATTTTGTTCCAAAAACCAAAAATACAACTTCAATATTTTACCAAATTAAGGTATTAACTTAGGGAAATCCATATCCTTTTATTTACAAAGGTGGCAAACAAGTGTACAGCCCGTCTTTTTTTTTTTTTTTTTTTTTTTAAAACTTAGAATGGCAAACAAGCTGACGGCCCACCTGATGGAAAGTGGTAACCGTCGCCTATAGACATGAGCAGTACCATGGACATAACAGAGTATGCTGTTTCGCCCATGATACCCCCCATGCGTTGCCATTCCTGAGGACTCAGGTGTTATTCCTCTGTACCCAGTAAATTCACGCCATATCCCACCCTTCAAACCGAAACACAGTTATGCAAACACAACTGCTTCACGGTTGAAACACGAATGGGACAGAGGTACCCAAGCAATCGACTTTTGTACAAAGTCTCCCTTTGGTAAATCTCCGTCTGATGGTAAATGGTCACTTTAACCTATGGACGTGTTGCCAACCCTGAAAAAACCGTGGGGAAAGGGATTGTTAGTAATGGAGACTAAAAATCCCATTGCTAGCAATATACTTAACTAGGTCGACCTCCACGCGGTTTCATCCTGGAAACTATCATGATTGATTCTTCATGATGAATTCATCATGATAGGCTAACTGGCCTGTTTTCATTCTCATCTATCACCCTTCACTGGTACCCCGCCAGCGTATTCCGTTAGCGCAGGCGGGGTTACCGTTCCATTTTCATCCTTTAAAAAAAACCAGTGACATACATGTATACCTATATACATGGAAAACATGAATTTTATGAACTTACTAAATTTGTTGTTTCCTACAATTGTTTCGGCTTCACCCGGATGTCTTCTTGATTTATTGCCATTTTCATTCGACTTTAAAAAAGTAATCCGACTTCATAACTCTGTCATTTATGAACCGATTTGGATTTTTTTTTATCTGAATGCCTTTTTTATGTGACTTAAAATGGCAAACAAGTTGACTACCTTATTCTATTACTTTCAGATTGGTCTGGTGAAAACTCCATCAAAATCAGATCAGTAGTTTGGTTTTTAAATCAAAATGTCTGGTTTTGTTACGACTAAAGTCAATGGTCTCATATTGTTTTGCATAACAGAATTTTATGCATGCAATGTTTTCGATAGGATATATTATTGATCGTAACTTTGAATCTTTATGGATAGCTTATGGGGATATATTACCATGCTGCTAAGCATGTGATAATTTCTATAATTTTATGTAGCTATAAACTATGCCAGGCGAATACATTAGGATTTTATCGTTTGTATTATTTATTAGGTTTTTTATTTTGTAAACAATGTTGGTATTTCTTTGTATATAAAATAAGAATGATTAAAATTATAAATCATTTTAATAATTTATTTTTTATAGCTCATTAATAATATTAATTAAGGTCTAACTGCGGTTGCAAACTCGCCTGCCAAGCGTGGCAACTACTGGCCCCCAACAACCCTTAAGTAGCGTGGGGAAAGGGATTGTTAGCAATTGAGTTTGACAGCCCTATTGCTAGCTATATGCACTATGGACCTCCACGTGGTTTCCCCTAGAAACAATCGTGGACAATTATTGTTGAAATCGTCACGATGGGCTAACTGATCTGCTTCATCCTCACCTATCATCCTTCACTGGTGCCTCGCCGGTGTATACCGATAGTGCGGGTGGGGTTACCATTAAACTTAATTATCACCTATTAAAAAAAAACCTTAACTAGCACGGGGAAGGGATTGTTAGCAATATACCTTGTCAGGTCAATTTCCACATGGTCCCTCTTGGTACTGCATCGTGCTGAAGTCCAGGTTTATTCATCACGATGGACTAACGGATCTATCTATTCATCCTCACCTACCATCCTTCACTGGTGTCACCAGCGTGTACAGTTAGCGTAGACAGGGTTAGCATTCCATTAAAAAATCTCCAAGTGGGAGGCTCGATGTTCAGCAGTGCACAGTTAAAGGGTGATACGGTGATGTAAACTATAATATTTTTTTTTATACAACTTAGAATGGCAAACAAGCTGACGGCCCACCTGATGGAAAGTGGTAACCGTCGCCGATAGACATGAGCAGTACCATGAACATAACAGAGTATACTGTTTCGCCCATGATACCCCCCATGCGTTGCCATTCCTGAGGACTCAGGTGTTATTCCTCTGTACCCAGTAAATTCACGCCGTATCCCACCCTTCAAAACAAAACACAGCCGTGCAAACACAACTGCTTCACGGTTGAAACACGAGTGGGACAGAGGTATCCAAGCAGTCGACTTTTGTAGAAAATCTCCCTCTGGTAATTTTGTCCCTTGTTTGATAAATTGTACCAATTGCCTTATTTTTCAGACCAAAACACAGCACGTATTCTTGATAAAAATAACGCTGTGTCTTCCAAATGTAGTCTAATACTTTTTGAGAGCCAACACCGCGTAGCTTCGACCTAGAAATACTTTGACCTATCCCCCTTTATTGTTCCCGGTCACACCCGGTACTTGCTTATTTCAATATCGGCGCAGTTACCCAGTTTCCGAACATGATATTAGATTCTATACAAATAGCAACAAAAAAACTGCACTAGTCTATACTCACGACTTCGCCCACTTGAATAATATACAGGTTGACATGAAAGACTTTAGCCATGCCTACTTAAAATTAATAATTTATTCATGGTATGAAATATATACTAGTCACATAGCTCGAAGAACTGACAACCGATGGGGAAGAAAGGTTCTTGAGTGGCGACTGCGTACGGGTAAACGCAGTGTGGGACGATTCCCCCACTAGGTGGAATGACGACTTGAAATGCATTGCAGGGAGTCAGTGGGTACAGGGGGCTCAGGACCGTTCTTTATGGCAGTCTATGGGGGGAGGCTTATGTCCAGCAGTGGACGAATAAATGATGAAAATGAAGGGAAGGGAAAAAAGACTGAAATGATGATGATGAAGAATGGCAGAAGGCTAATATAATAAGCGTAATACAAAAAAAAAATACGACCGAATTGAGATCTTCCTTCGTTCTGAAATCTGTTGCAAAAAATAGAATAGTAACGAGTTATGAAACAGTCATTTTATTCATAATTATTGTCTTCAGGGTAATGCCACCAGATATGTCGCTCTCAATGAGGCACACGAAGATCAAGGCGGAGGAGGCGGCTCTGCTGGCTGGCGAGATCTCCAAGCCGTCCTGGGAGTCCAGGAACGAGGGTATTCACGAGAGAGTCAGCTTCGAAGACGCCATATGGGGCTTTGACCTGGCCGGTGGTGCTTATTACAAGACTCCACTGCGAGTAACTCATGTAAGTAGATTTTTTATAAGATTTTTTTTATACAGCTTAGAATGGCAAACAAGCTGACGACCCACCTGATGGAAAGTGGTAAGACATGAGCAGTACCATGGACATAACAGAGTATACTGTTTCGTCCATGATACCCCCCATGCCATTCCTGAGGGCTCAGATGTTATTCCTCTGTAAATTCCTGCCATATCCCACCCTTCAAACCGAAACACAGCCATGCAATCACAACTGCTTCACGGTAGAAACACGAATGGGACAGAGGTACTCAAGCAATCGACTTTTGTACAAAGTCTCCCTTTGGAATGACAATGGAATGATAACCCATTTTTTTAATTTGAATTTGGAACTATTTTTGTGACTGATATTAAATATACATATGCACGTATTGCTTATAAATTAATATACATGTATTAAATTAAAATGGCGGCCGTTTTCAATGTTTTAAACTATTCAGTATTGATAAAGATCATTACGAAAATGTATGTACAATAGATTGTTTTTCTTGTTCTTTCAAATCTTCGATTATATATGTAGATACTCGTAGAAATGCTTCGAGAAAAGCGGGTCAACTTTTTCATACAATTTTGCGTGATAAATAGTTACGAGTGTTTCCTTTATAACTTCTATATTTACTTTGTCTTATAATTTCTGCATCTTTTTAATGCGTAAACCACTCATTTTATTTATTAAATAATACGTCAAGATACATTTTATGTGTAAGTATATAGAATACTGATAAAAAAAACGAGTTTGCTGCAACAATTAGCTGACAAAAAAATTACCCGTTTTTGAGGCTCGATATTTATATAATCTAAGTTTCATATTATATTTGTAATAATTCTGTAGATACTATTTATATTTTTTAATTTAATCTTATATATTGTATAAATTTATAAATTCTTCTTACATACTCAGTGTTAACTGTATATATTCTTGATTGCACTAAAATATACAGTAACAACAATAAGTTAATAACAATGTTAGCAAATGCGAATTTATCTCTAAAAGAGATTGCTTCCAGTCAACCTAACACAGTGGCGTAGGAAGTAGTGAGTGGGCAGTAGTAGTGCTAAACAGAAATTAAAATAAATATTTACATAAATAATAAATCATTATATATATATATATATATATATATATTTATTTATTTATTTGAAAGATACAATATTAATACATACATATGAATATAAACCTACATAAATAAGAATATATATACATATATATATATATATATATATATATATATATATATATATATATATATATATATATATACACACACATACACACACTTATACACATATATACACATGTACATACATATATACATATGTTAAATACAATATATAAATATCAAATAAAAGAGAACACAATAATGACAGTCTTCTAATCATTTTTTATATTTAAACAAAATTGGAAAGATAGAATGATTTTAATCTTTTTTTGAACTATGCATACTGGCAACCCAATTTACGTACTCGTGGTCTAGAAAGATGACCTGATTTTGTGGAGACGTTCTATCTATATAACATAAGGTCTCTTTCTTCGTCCACTTCATTACTGAAGGTCGTGTCCTTGAAAGGTGTCTGTTGCCTCTCTTATGATGTTATTCCATTTTACACGGTCTTCAGCTTCTCGCAGGGCAGCTGCAATCGACAGTCCCGTAACGGCGGTTACCTGGTCCGACCATCGATTAGGCGATCGTCCGCGTGGTCTTTTTCCCTCTATCTTGCCTACAACCATTAGTTTGTCCAGATTGTCGTAACATAAGGATTGTCATGACATAAGGTCACATATGGACAAATATGGAGTTTTTTTATTTTAATTGTATCAAAAATTTCAGGTGAAACCCGACAGCAGAGCACAGAAAGCCGGGATCAGACCTGGGGACAAGCTGATACGTATCAACGATATCGACACGTCAACTCTCACCATACAGGAGGCGCATAAGATAATTATCGAGTCTGGTATACACCTCAAGCTGGCGGTGACTGCGTAAGGAATTATTATATACTAGTCTTTACTCGCGACTTTTTCTTTTACAACACAGGGAGCAAACGAGCATGCGGCACATCTGGTGGTAAGTGATTACCGTCGCCCACGATCACTCACAACATCAACGGCATTGCAGGTGTGCTGCCCGCGTTTTAAAAAGGAATATGCTCTTTTCTTGAAGGCTATGTTGTTGTATCGGTTCGGAAATACTGCTGCTGGAAGTTGATTCCAAAGAGTGGTTGTGACTACATTCACTTGAGCAGATAGATTGATTGGTAAAAAAGTGCCCTTGTACCCTTCTCTGTTTTAAATACTATATGTATAGTAAATTTTTTTATATCACTGATGTGGCAAACAAGCATACGGCCCACCTGATAGTTAGCGGTTACCATAGCCTATCACCATATCATGAACATAGGCCTGCCCCAAAGGGAGATGTCGCCAGTAGTTCCTATGATTGGCAGGCTAGTTGGCAACTGCACTTAGGCTTTGTTGATGTTTAAATAATGACGTTGCTGCCCCCACCTCTTGATCATTAAATTCCCTTAGCTGATCCTCTTATTATATCCCATTCATAGCCCATTCGTAGCCCATTCTATGTGGGGACCACGCAACTATGTACACCTGCAATACCTGGAGTATTACCCGCGCGTTACCGACCCTGAAAAAATCTTTTTACCACTTTTTTGAAGAACTTCATGCTGTAGACTCTAAAACGTCGACAGGTCATTTTATAATGTGAGCATTCGTGGGAGAAAACGTCATTGAAACCACGCGGTACGCGATGATTTCATGATGAAAATATATTCTACAAGCGTAAAAATTTGCATTGTGCGGGGCTCGAATCTGCATGTATTGGAATGTGAGGTTCAGTGAACCGCTGTACCATCTAATTTGCCAAACCTTATGATTAGTCAATCTTTATTTATACCTCTGAAGAGGGAACCCAATAAATTGTACATCCCGTATTCGGTCCCCTGGGGGACACGACGTGATTAATGAAAATGTAACATAAATTTTTCGAGAAGTCGAAAATTACTGTACGAACGGTTAATACATATGTAATCTATATATTATATATGTTATATAAAAAATAATGCCACTTTTCGTTGTAATTTTATAACTCAAGAACGGACTCACTTATCCAAACCAAATGTTTAGGCTTTGTTCGCATTATTTAGTAGATGGTTTATGTGAAGTTTGCACAAAATCGGTCGAGCGGTTCTTCATTTATCACATTTTTTGTAACAAATGAATTCAATAAATGGCGGATCATTTTGTTAATGGGGATTTTTGTGTCAAATTCAAACTTTTTTAAGATGGGGATTGTGCTGTCAAATTGAAACTTTTTTTAAGATGGGGATTGTGCTGTCAAATTGAAACTTTTTTTAAGATGGGGATTGTGCTGTCAAATTGAAACTTTTTTCAGTGTTAATAACAAGCATGTTGTTATGTCATTCATGCGGTCATTTTAATTTTTTTTTTATTATTTCACTTTATACGAAGCGAAGCATGTACCGGGCCGCTAGTAATATATAATAATATTAAATATATATTTACTTATTATATATTACATTCACATTCCTTAATAGGATGGTTGTAGGTTTAATTCTACTGTTGCTCTTGTGATTTCTTTAATTTTATACTAGTCTTCAGCTGCGACTTCGTTTACGTGACCGGGATATGTTTACTGACCGGACTAAGTAGCCTACATCCTTTTCTATTCCACATAGGGAGGGAGACTGTACAAAAGTCGATTGCTTGGGTACCTCTGTCCCATTCGTGTTTCAACAGTGAAGCAGTTGTGTTTGCATGGCTGTGTTTCGGTTTGAAGGGTGGGATATGACAGTGAATTTACATTTATATTTAGGGTACAGAGGAATAACATCTAAGTCCTCAGGAATGGTAACGCATGGGGGGTATCATGGGCGAAACAGTATACTCTGTTATGTCCATGGTACTGTTCATGTCTATAGGCGACGGTTACCACTTTCCATCAGGTGGGCCGTCAGCTTATTTGCTATTCGAAGTTGTATAAAAAAAAGTTAAAATAACACGCTCAAAGAACCACTGACTCAGCACACGTCTTGTGGATTCTTTTTTAGAATTAATATTATAATTTTATTATATTAGTAGGGAGTCACTAGGACTAAATCTATACTTATAATAAATCTGTAGAGAGGTCAATTCTGTACATGAAATATATTTCCAAACTAACTATCAAGGGGTGATTAGTGATCGATACTGATGCCAAAAATGTAATCAGTAAAATTTTTGTCCGTCTGTCTGTATGTTCGTTATAAAACCAAAAACTACTAGATGGATTTTAACGAAACTTGGTACAATTATTCTTTATACTGCTGGGCAGGTTATAGTATACTTTTCATCATGCTACGATCACTAGGAGCAGAGCAGTGAAGGGAAATGTTGGGAAAACGGGAGAAGTTACTCCATTTTTAAGCTTCCGTCGCGTGTGCAGCCTTAATGGCCACTTTTTAAAATGTAAAAATGTCCACCTGTGCGAAGCTGGGCTGCTGGTATATAAATAAGTTGTTATTTAACATTTGAGGCACGAATTTTTACGTTCAGTTACAAAGAGACTTACCTCGGTGAGTGGTATTTATTTAGTCAGAGATAGCTTCGTTTGAATTTATATTGTTAAGTGCTTTTTAGAATCCTAAATAGAATAAATAAATTTCATTTTAATATCTCTAAATTTATTATTTGGAATAGCGACAAATTTTTCTGTATTTTTTTTTGGTTACATTTAGTATTTAAAATTTAACTAGAGACCTTTAAATTTTCTATCAGTAGACTCAACAAACATTTTTTTACCTCCCATTGCTGTCTACCAAGGTTTTTTTTTCTTATCGGTAATAATTAGTAGTATTTTTTTTATACAACTTAGAATGGCAAACAAGTTGAAGGCCCACCTCATGGAAAGTGGTAACCGTCGCATATTGACATGAGCAGTATCATAGACATAACAGAGTATACTGTTTCGCCCATGATAACCCCATGCGTTGCTATTCCTGAGGATTCAGGTGTTATTCCTCTGTACCCTGTAAATTCACTGCCATATCCCACCCTTCAAACCGAAACACAGTCATGCAAACACAACTGCTTCACGGTAGAAACACGAAAGGGACAGAGGTGCCCAAGCAAATAACTTTTGTATAAAGTCTCCCTCTGAAATATATTGTAGTTTCAATATCTATATATATATATATATATATATATATATATATATATATATATATATATATATATATATATATATATATTGACCTAATAACACATATATTAAAAAATTTTTCATCGTGCCTCCCACCAAATTGTTTATAATTACTCTTCTTCATCCAAAGGTTGCCTGCAAGAGATCGCTCTTAGCGATAAGGTCGCCCATTGTTTTCTCATTGTGATTATTTCTTGTAATTATTTATATTTATAATAAGTTTACTATTGTTATCTTTTGGAGGAAACAATAAAGAGTATCTATCTATATTAACTATCAGTTATTAAATATATAATGGTTAATATAATATAATATATAAAGGTTGTGGAATTTCTGCTAGTAAAAGTGGTGGTCAATCTTCGAGTATTGGTCTAAAAACAAGGAATTACATAGAAGGAATGATAAAATAGAAACTGTAAATCATATGTTTCCCTCCTTTCTTCTTATGCAAATGTAATTAGTAAAAAGAGGACGAAAGATACACCATCAGTTGCTATTTTTCTCAATTCATAGCGGGCTAGTGTATAGAAAACGTTTGATATGTCAATTATTTGTCAATGACAAATTTTACATTACTAGATTATATTCGACACAGTTTATGTAGAAAGTATGCAAGCAGGTTGTATCTGAATTTGGTAGGGTTATACGGCCGTATAACATTTTTTATACACTAGCCTGCTATGAATTGACAATTTTATCACTCCTTTTATATAATTCCTTGTTCTTAGGTATTGGTATTCACACTCATACAAATGGTAGTATAATTTTAATCAAATAACCAATGATATAGATTTCCGCAAAATAACGCTTATTTCAGTGAAATATATTATTATTTTTTGTAGTATTTACTTTTTATAGTACGTAATAGTCAGTATATTTGTTATTTTTATATATTTATTCGTTTATATATGTAATTTTAGTATGTATGTATATCAATAATTAGTAGTACCGCATTCGAGTATTCTGACACTTCCCTATGGTTGACTGTGAGAGAATGCTTTTAGCATTAAGTCCGCCATGTACAAATATTTGTACTAATGAATAAATAAATAAATGCATGTACTACTAGATAGAAAGGCGGCCATTTCGGCAGATATACTGCGGGCTCTTATCGTTAAAGATTATCCGTATTGTGGTTAAACGAAACATGAAGCAAAAGGGCAGGCCGTTGACAGAGTCAAGCGGCCGGACGTGTATTGTACTAGCGACACATGTCTATTGGATTGGGTTTGGGATTCCTGAATATTTGACGTGTTTTTGTTAGATGTCAATTCACATACAAAAGTTATTTTATAGCTTAAGTGAGTTTTGTATAGAGGGACGTCTCTTCAAGATTGGAGCAATTGATTTGATTGTTTGGTATTGTGAAATGTATAAATAATATATTATATTATTGTGGGCGAAAGGACTGTATGCTGGTATGGAAACACGGTGTTTTAGAAAGATAATAAAATTATATAAAAAATATACATAGCAAACTAACGGAGTTAAAAAGCGAACGAAAAAAAAACCTAAACTTTAACATACAGACTTCAAATTACAAACAAAACATATTTTTAATAAAATTAAAAAAGAAACTAAAAAGGTGCGTCGTGGACAATTATAATACAATAAATAAATAAATGCTATATTAATAAAATTCGTGACTAATTGTTTTCAAGTTCATTCCAAAGGTTGTCTGGAAGAGATCGCTTTTAGCGATAAGGCCGTCCATTGTTTTCTCGCTGTGATTGTTTCTTTTAATTGTTTGTATCTATAATAAGTTTACTATTGTAATCTCTTGGAGGAAAGAATAATGAGTGTCTACCTATCTATTTATCAAGTATAATAATTCTTTTTTTTTAAATTATATAACATACATATTAGTTGCTTGCGGGTTCGTTATAACATTTATTTAATATAAAATATATAGCATATTCTATGCGAATTTTCTTAGCCATGTGGTCCCGGCATAGAACGGGCAACCCTTTCTTCTACCTTGGGTGTTGTAAGAGGCGAGTAAAGGAATTTATCTCTTCTTTGCATGATTTTTTTTTATTGCTTAAATAAATCAAGATGATATAATTCAAGTTCAAAATTAAAGGAAAAATGGTTAAAAAAATAAATTTGACAGCTATGTTTTTTTTTCTGCAATGGACATTAAAAACGTATCCAGACACGATCAACTTAAAGTGAACATGTTCTTTTATATAATTTTTGGGCATTCAATGTTATGATGGGAATTTCCACCATTATGCAAAGTAGGGTTAATGGTTGAGGCAGTGTCTCTCTTAACTGCAGTTGCTAACCCGCTTGCCAAGCGTGGCGACTACTGGCAAAATCCTCCAAGGGGAGGTTTATGTTCAACAGTGCTCAGCAGTGCAGGCTCGCATCCTCCATGTATATTTAGTACGATTATAATAAAATTTCAGGTTGCCTGTAAGAGATCCCTTTATGGGATAAGTCCGACATTGTATATTAAATCTTTTGATGTATTACGTATGAATTATGTACAATAAAACTGCAAGTTATAATGCACATGTGCTGTGCAAGTATGGCTTCTACAAAGCGAAATTTTGTCCTTTGTAGAGAGATTTATTTTGTTTTTCCGAAATGGATTTTAATTCAACATGTCGTAACTGCTTTTGGTTTGCTTGTCAATTTTCGTCTTTAATGTTATTTGCAATAAAGACGAACAAACGGGTCTATTTAGATTACGATAAAATTTCAATTCAATCTAAATATAAATGTTTATTTTATTCACAAAAAACACCATTTGTTACACAACCAACCATGTTATTCTGTAAAGGTTCGCATTTCACTTTGCAACTCACTTTCGTCTTACTTCTCACTCGTCTTATATTTTTAATATGATACAATTGTAACTGGACCATGTCCATATAGGGAAGTAATTAAAAAAATTACGTAACAGTTTTACCAGAGGGAGACTTTGTACAAAAGTCGTTTGCTTAGGTACCTCTGTCCCATTCGTGTTTCTACCGTGAAGCAGTTGTGTTTGCATGGCTGTGTTTCGGTTTGAATGGTGGGATATGGCATTGAATTTACAGGGTACAGAGGAATAACACCTGAGTCCTCAGGAATGGCAACGCATGGGGGTATCATGGGCGAAACAGTATACTCTGTTATGGCCATGGTACTATTCATGTCTATAGGTGACGATTACCATTTTCCATCAGATGGGCTGTTAGCTTGTTTGCCATTCTAAGTTGCATAAAATATATATATATCAAATGTAAAAAACTCGCGGATTCGCTAGTGAAAGCCAAGTCGAATTTTACAGAATACTAACTAAATATTCAATTACAATTTTCCATTCAATGGACGATGTTATAAAAAGCTATAAATTAATGTTTTGGCCGGCAATTCCGATATGTATTTATAGTTCAGTGAATCTGCCTATTAATTGCTGTTACTGTTTTGTGGCATATTGATATAAATTGGTTGCTTTCTCGTCGAGTCGAGAGACATTTCCATATTTTCATTAATCGGTATATCGTTTTATTGAAGCATAGATACAATCAGAATTACTTTATTTAATGAAGCTTAGTGCTAGACCTACTAATAAAACAGTTTTAAAAGCTATTTAAATATAATGAGATAGATTTTTTTATGCAACTTAAAATGGGAAACAAGCTGATGACACACCTGATGGAAAGTGGTAATCGTCGCCTATAAACAAGAGAAGTAGCATGGACATAACAGAGTATACTGTTTCGCCCATGATACCCGCCATACGTTGACATTCCTGAGGACTCAGATGTTATTCCAAGGATATTGTAACATATATGTTATAATATGTAATTTATGTATGCACAGTAGTGGCTTCTTGACAGTAAAGTATGTGGTAAAGCGACGTGAATTAATCTTGCATCTCATTTCCAGGCCTGAAGATGAAGAGGACAGCTATTATTGTTACCAGGACCCTCTAGTAAGTATATTGCGGCTTCTGACTAGTATTTATGAATAAATTCAATAAGATGTAGTTTCTTAATTCACTCGTTTTTTTTCCTGTCTATAGGTAAGTATATTAAGTTGTATACAAACTTTGTATGTTAGCACACTAGGTTTATAACATTGATTTGGAAAGGGATTGTTAGCAATGGAGTTTGACAGCCCCATTGTTAGCAATACGCCCTATTAGGTCGACCTCCACGTGGTTCCCCTGGAAACTATCGTGAACAATTCTTGTTGAATTCGTCACGATGGGCTAACTGACCTGCTTCATCCTCACCTATCATCCTTCACTGATGCCCCGCCGGTGTATACCGATAGCGCGGGTGGGGTACCATTTCATTATCACCGATTAAAAAAAATAAATTGATTTGGCTTTTGCTGTTATAATGTTGTAATTATTTTTAATGATTAAATAAATAAATAAATTTAATAAATGTCACAAGTAGTCGAATTTTATCTATAATTGCGTACAATCCAGAGGTACAAGGTACAACCTGCGTACAATGTTTTTTTTTTAATGGGTGATGATGGAGTGGTAACCCCACTTGCGCTATTGTTATACAACGGCGGGGCACCAGTGAAGGATGATAGGTGAGGACGAAGCAGGTCAGTTAGCCCATCGTTACGAATTCAACGAGAATTGTTCACGATGGTTTCCAGGGGGAACCACGTGGAGGTGGACCTAATAGGGCTATCAAATATATTGCTAGCAATAGGGCTGTCAAACTCCAAAGCTAACTATCCTTCCCCCCTGCGTACAACGTTACATAGTATTTTTTTTTTATGGGTGAAAATGTAGTGGTAACCCCGCCTGTGCTAACGGGATACGCTGGCGGAACACCAGTGAAGGGTGATAGATGAGAATGAAAACAGGCCAGTTAGCCCATCATGATGTATTCATCAGGAATTAACCATGATAGTTTCCAGGGAGAACCGCGAGGAGCTCGACCTGTTTGGGTATATTGCTAACAATGGAATTCTCAGTCTCCATTACTAACAATCCCTTTCCCCCAAACGTTACATAGTAGTGGGTACACACGTGTGTGCGTATTGCAAGGTTCATTTCGCATATTCATTAATGCAATAAATTGTTTCTGAGATATTAAGGTTCGCGCACATATATTCCAAATCGCATCTTGATGCAGAATATTAGGTATAAAAAAATATTTACCAAAGTAAAAATTATTTACAAAAGTTGTTTGCTTGGGCACCTCTATTCCATTCGTGTTTCTACCGTGAAGCAGTTGTTTGCATGGCTGTGTTTCGGTTTGAAGGGTGGGATATGGCAGTGAAATTACTGGGTACAGAGGAATAACACCTGAGTCCTGAGGAATGACAACGCATGGGGGGTATCATGGGCGAAATAGTATACTCTATATCGCCTATATCGGTGGAATATCTGTTTTCGAATATGTTAAAAGTCTGTTATCCCACATTGTTTTTTTTTTAGATAACAGACTTTTGACATATTCATTATTGGACTAGTATATCAGATATTGTAACTGAAATACATAGATATTGCTATTATATATTACCCAGAAGAAGAAGAAGGTGCTCAATTTGTTTGTATGGCAAACAAGCTGACGGCCCACCTGATGGAAAGTGGTAACCGTCGCCTATAGACATGAGCAGTGGACATAACAGAGTATACTGTTTCGCCCTTGATACCCCCCATGCATTGCCATTCCTGAGGACTCAGGTGTTATTCCTTTGTACTCAGTAAATTCACGCCATTTTTTTGCTTGTGTTACGTACTATTACAAATTTTAATACAATTTCGAGAATTTTATTTGGGGAAAAGTGTTTATTTATAAATTAGTCTCATCTAAGTTAGTGACGCTTCAATAGTTACCATTTTTTGCGGATTATTTTTTTAGACAATTCTGCTTATTACAGAAGTACCTAAGTCCACTTGTAGTTATAGTTTGTTTCAATAGAATTTAATAAATTAAGATTTTGTTCCATAAAAAACCGACTTTAATTGTGGGAAAACTAGTTATTTTAACTGGTTAAAAACTAGTTATTTAAACCCGGTTAAAAACAAGTCATTGAACCGGTTAAAAACTAGTTATTTTAACTGGTTAAAATAACTTGATTTGTTGTATGATATAAAAACTAAAGTACTGAAATGATTTTAATAAAATTTCTACAGGACCATTCTGTAAGTATTTTCTTTTAGATATAAAAGGAATTTTTCAAATTGGTTTACAACTGACGAACTTATGTGGTATTGAACTCTAAACAAAAAACCGAATTGTGCACCTCTTTCTTTCTAAAGAACCTCTTTCTTTCTTCTTTATTGTAATATGAATATCTTTAGTGAGTACTCACCTTTAGTTTTCCTCATAAATCACCAAGGAACGTTCTCTAGATTGCAATCGATACCTTGCAACCTTTTGTCATTACGGGGTGACCATTCGGGTAATTTCCCCAAAGGCTATCGGCCCTTAGACACATGTGCCGTCCCATTGCCACTTCAATTTATGGATATTTAAGGCTATATTGGTTTAAATAAGGTCACTCTATTGGAAGTATAAGTAAGATTTCTAAAGTATGTTACACGACTGAGGTGGTAAATAAGCATACGACTCACCTGATGGAAAGCGGTTACCGTAGCCTATGAATGTTTGTAATACCAAGAGCATTATTTTGAAGTAACTTTTTTATTACTTTTTTGAAGAATCCCACGCTGCAATCTCTTGGAAAAACCTCGACAGGGATCTCATTGCATAACCTGTACGTTCGTAGGAGGAAATATCTCTGAAACCGTGCTGTACACGACCATCTAGGCCAGGAGTTCCCAAACTTATTTTGTCTACTGCCCACATTGAGGATAAATTATTTTTAGCGCCCCCATTTTTTCACCTACTTAAAAACCACTATTACTTCAAGATCACCAAATCACCCCCCAAGCCTCTACACAACGCACCCATTTTTTATCTGGGTCTCTTACCGCCCCCTTCAGGCCTGTAACGCCCACAAGGTGGTGTTATCGCCAACTTTGGGAAAGGCTTATCTAGGCTCCGAGGTATAATAGGTGAACTCCGGGGAGAAAAGGGATTGTTAGTAATGGAGACTAAGAATCCCATTGCTAGCAATATATCCAACCAGGTCGACCTCCTCGCGGTTCCCCCTGGAAACTATCATGATTAATTCCTGATGAATTCATCATGATGGGCTAACTGGCCTGTTTTCATCCTCATCGATCACCCTTCACTGGTGCCTCGCCAGCGTATCCCATTAGCGCAGGCGGGGTTACCACTCCATCTTCATCCAATAAAAAAAAAATAGATGAACTCCCTGCCGATGGCGAGATGTGCGATGGTAGAAGATGGTCGTGGATCATACTGAACAATTATATCCGCTAATTTATATAAAAATGATTTAATTATGTTGTAAACACTATAAACTTTTTTAAATAGCTCATGTAAGACATCGTTGGTATTTTTTTTTTATTACAGGAGGACGGATATGACAGCGAAGAGGAACGACGGCTTGAGGAGGAGAAGGCTCTCAAGAGACAGGTTCACGCAAAAGTTGTAAGTAGTCTTTCTTTACAATTTATCTTAATAATGTAAAAAATTTAAAAGTTTAGGTTTTTTTTTTACTACAAAGGCGGTAAACAAACATACAGCCAGGCTGATGATAATTAGTATCTGTTGTCTATGGACACATGCAATATCAGGGATATAATGTGTGTGTTGTCAACCCTGAAAAAAAACTTAATTAACGCACTTTTTGAAGACATTCATATTATAGAAGTTGGAAAAAATTTCGTATTCTGGAACTGTGTATGTTGTAGCTTAGTACCTTACTTAGTTCTTTCCATTATTGTATGTCTGTGTGCGTGAGCACACGTACGGTGCGCGCTTTGTGTGTGTGAGTACGTGCGTGCGTGCGTGCGTGCGTGCGTACGTGCGCATTTGTGTTTTATCGTCAATTATGAGTTTTTTTAGTTTTTTTTATATGTATTTAATTTCGTGTTGTCATAATGTAAATATGGTTTTGTTGTAATATTTTTTTTATTGTATTTCAGAGTTCTTACTGGAGTTTACAATGGCCGTGGGTCAGTAAAAGGAGAGTTATTTATCGAGAATCGAACTGTTTTATGGTGCCCAGTAAATACGAGGATAAACATAAGTAAGGAACAATCAATATATAACAAAAAAGTCAAAAACAAAAATTGCCTACTTTAAGTAAAAACTTACAATTTACTTATTTTACTCTATTTTACTTATTTTACTAAACATTATATTTATGAAAGTTTGTATGTTCATTATTCAATCACACTTAAACAGCCGAAAGAGTTCGAAAATTTGCTACACAGCTTGGTTAGTAAATTGGTAAATAAACACAACGTTTACATATATATTAAGTTATAAGTATTGAAAGATCCATTAATTCTATTCTAATAATAGGATATATAATTGTATAAAGTAAATTTAATAACCATAATGTCGTTACTTACAGAGAAAAATTCCCAGAACAACCCGCCTTAAGAATGGACAACAGTGTTGTGTTTGACACAGCTAAACCTAGAAAAGAGAAGAAACGCGTAGACATAGAAGAAGTGGTTGAAGAAAACGGAGTAAAAGAACACAAACCAATTAAAAATCAACGATCAGTTCCCAATCTTGATGTTAATAATAATAAACAAAATATGACGAACGGTGTTAATAATGTTAAAAGTAATGGTCATTTAGGAGGAATATCAGAAGAAGAAGAGGTAGGCGAAGAAGACAAAAATAATAGAATTAATTCAAAAGATGATGAATTGTCGTTAGACGAATCTCTTAACGGTGACGCCGAGGAGGTTTCATTGAATAATGACAATACTTCCTCAAATGATGACAAAGTTATTAATGATCTATTAAACGGAACGGAACATGATGCAAACGATGAAGATAAAATTTTAGACAACATCTTGAGTGATAATGAGGAACATAATGAAGCTGATACGGTCGAGAGATAAAAAACTCAAATTAATTCAGTTATCAAAAATGTGATAATTATTTGTTGTGATAGAGATTCTATGTAAAATTAGATTATATATTAGATAAATAGGTAAAGAAATATAGGTTTATTAAATAATGTAATTAATAAAACGTCATGTTTATATTTAGTTTTATATTCATTGATGTAAATAATAATGTAATTATAGATAAAATGTGATTAAATAATTTAAAATGTAATTAAAATATGTAGATGTCATATTTACACATTACAATTTTAGATATTTTCGTCATAGACTCTTTAATACTGTAACATTCTATTTAATACTATCGAACGAATTAAAAATAAATGGAATTATTTTTTACACATTCTTTGTATTATTTGATCACCTTATCGTTTTGTAATGGGTATTGTACATACACTAAAAATATATATACAAACTAGAGACTTAGAGTTTCTATTATATTTTAATTAAATTTTAAATGAATAATTACGATCAAATTAAAGTTAATTTATTATTCTATTATTATTTTTAATTAATTTTAAATGTATTAAGAATAATTTTAAATAAATATAAAGTTAATTATATTACGACATCGAATAGGCCACCCCTTCCTTTCTCGTGGGTGTCTAAAGAGGCGATTAGGGGAGCTTATAATGGAGGGATGGGCAGCTGCGTCCATCTTAAAATACCAAAGTCAAACTGCGGTCGCCGGTCAGGCGGATTGGCAACAGCAACTTGATATAAAGTTTTACCTATCTAAAATATATCTGCGGTTGGCAGAACCAAGCCAACTAATGACAAAACCTCTCTTATGGGATAGGCTATGTTCAGCAGTTAACATAAAGATAATTCTGTATTCCAAAATGTTCAATTGGTTTCATAGAATAGCTTTATTTGCAGATTGCACATTCAATTTGCATCGGTATTCAAGACAATTGGAATGCAATAGTACCTACTCCGTGTTAAGCGTCCCAACCTAGATACCGCCAGACAGGCGAGATTAACACAGAACGAGCTACGCAGTTAGTTCCGGATCAGAACACCTAACATATTCTGAGAATTCCCGTTTCGAATGAGACAGCAATATTCCATTAAGACTTATCCTTTGTAATTATTGTTTATAATGACACTAAGAAATTCAAGTGAATTTTTAACTTTATTATTTTAAACTGTATAATAAACTAGCAATCCGGGCTGGTTAATTAAATTAATATATATAAATACGTTGAATTTTTTTGCAACTTAGAATGGCAAGCAAGTTGACGGACCATCTGATGGAAAGTGGTAACCGTCACCTATAGACTTGACCAGTACCATGGACATAACAGAGTATACTATTTCGCCTATGATACCTCCCATGCGATGCCATTCCTGAGGACTCAGGTGTTATTCCTCTGTACCCTGTAAATTCACTGTCATATCTCACCCGTCAAATTGAAACACAGCCATGCAAACACAACTTCTTCACTGTAGAAACACGAATGAGACAGAGGTGTCTAAGCAAACGACTTTTGTACAGAGTCTCCCTCTGGTGACTTTAACCTTACTTATCCCATTAGCTGTGTGTATATTTAAGTTTAATGGGTGGGATATGGCAGTGAAGTTACAGGGTACAGAGGAATAACATCTGAGTCCTCAGGAATGGCAACGCATGGGAATTATCATGGGCGAAACAGTGTACCCTGTTATGTCCATGGTACTGTTCATGTCTATAGGCGACGGTTACCACTTTCCATCAGGTGAGCCGTCAGCTTGTTTACCATATTGGGTGTCATAAAAAAAATCATCCCTGCTCTGCCAAAATTTACCTAGGGGTGGCCCTAATTATTAAATGATAATCAATCAAAAGTATTTAAACTATGTTTAAAATTCATTCGTTACTTCTGTCCCCCTCGCGTTTCTACTGGGAAGCAGTTATTAATGTTTCAATTAGTGTTCATGTCTATAGGTGAGGGTTATCACTTTCCATCGTGGCTCGTCCGCTTCTTCGTCACTTCTAGACAGATATCTTATAAAATAGGCAGTTAATTCCGACGTTGTCACACTTCAGCGAGCTTCGTGTATGGAAACTCTAAACCTGTTATGAATCGAGACGGTCTATTTCCAGCATCAGTGATTGCTCGCTGATTTATACAACACTGCCAACTTATAAACGTGCGCCCACACTACTCTCAATATAAATATAATGGGGAAAGGGATTGTTAGTAATGGAGTTTGACAGCCCTATTGCTAGCAATATGCCTTATTAGGTCGACCTCTACGTGGTTCCCCTTGGAAACCATCGTGAACAATTGTTGTTGGATTCGTCACGATGGGTTAACTGACCTGCTTCATCCTCACCTATCATTCTTCACTGGTGCCCCGCCGGTGTATACCGATAGCGCGGGTGGGGTTACCATTCCATTATCACCCATTAAAAAAAATATATAAATATAATAATTTATATATTATTTTATTATATTTAATTTATAATGTGTAGTTTGTATTATTCTTTGTGTATACATATCTTATGTGTTTATACAATATATGCAGATCGTATGACTGGCTATTTTTATTTTTAAAATAACACAATTAACATGGAAAGGTTTTGCTGGAAGAAATCTCTTATTAGAGATAAGCTCGCCTTTGTACATTATGTTTATAATGAATTGTGATTAACAGTATGTTTTGTGTACAATAAAGCATATATATATAAATGATTTGGAAAATCGGTTGAGATTCTACTTTTAGGAAGACGGCTAAAAACCACTCGAAATCCCAAAGCGTAACGTGAGAGTGACGTCAACAATGTTGCTTACTCAGCAAATATTGAATGGCGCGGCGTGTATATCAAGGGGTCGGTCCGTTTGTTTGTTACCTGTTTCATTTGACGGTTATTTATAGGGGTAAGGCGAGTTGCCCCAGTTAATCAAATGTGTTATACTGATTTTGCGTTTGTTTATGAAATGTTTAGTTTGTCAGATAAAATTATTAATTTTACAGCAGAGCTCATAGACGTAGATGGAGTTACTGAGGTCTATTATAGATAGGTACTTAGACATTTATTTCTTATTATTATGTAGTGACAAAAATCAAAAAAGGAATGTTGCGTTGGTTTGGTCATTTGGAGAGGATGGATGAAAGAAGAATTACGAAAGAGATTTATCGAGCAAGAATCAATGAAGATGTTGGTAGGGGCCGCCCTAGACGGACGTATGTCGACCAAATAGGCGACGTACTGAAGAAGGACCAAATTAAAAGTACTTGTAACCGGCGAGCGTGTATGAAGAGATTGATGAATGTGGAGGAAGCGAAAGAGGTTTGTTTGAATCGAAGCATTTGGCGTTCCATTGTTTATTGCTAGCAATAGGATTCTCAAACATCAACAATCCCCTTCTCCCCCTACTAACTTGTTGGACTTGTAATTGTAGAACCATAGAAACGATCCTATGTAGGGTCGACCCTACCAACTTCAGCATGACGATGATCATGACGAATTCACAAAAAAGAGTCATTACATTGAGACACTAAAAGATGAAGGCACGACTCATTACTTTCTGTGCGTTATTATGCGAAGACAGGTGGTAAACATCTAGCTTTTTTATGATTATGTAGTTTTCACCGAGTAAACTCAACGGTACGGCATATATGGCATGGGATTCGACCAATATTTTAGCGCTGACGTCAACGCTCGTGTCATGTGCGGGTAAATATTGGATGGCTAATATTAAATAGGGCGTGATTGAACTCTGTCACAATTCAATATTGGATTGTTTGTCCGACGTGTATGAATCCTGTGCACGTCTCTAGTTGTATGTATAAGTGTATTTGTATGTGTAGTTTGTTTATTGTTGTGTTCTTATTTAATTAGTTGTGAACATGTTGTGTTTTATTACAATCGTAAATATGTGATTTAATTAAATGTAGTATCGGTGTAAATAGAGTTTGAATGTGATATTTATATGTGATAGATAGATAGATAGATACTCTTTATTGTTTCCTCCATAAGATTACAATAGTAAACTTATTATAAATATAAACAATTACAAGAAAATATTAGACTGAGAAAACGATATTGTTATTATATTTTTGTTAATATGTTTGTTTTTTTATTTTTTTTATGCAACTTAGAATGGCGAACAAGCTGACGGTCCACCTGATGGAAAGTGGTAACCGTCGTCTATAGACATGAATAGTACCATGGACATAACAGAGTATACTGTTTCGCCCATGATATGCGCCCCCATGCTTTGCCATTCCTGAGGACTCAGGTGTTATTCCACTGTACCCAGTAAATTCACGCCATATCCCACCCTTCAAACCGAAACACAGCCATGCAAACACAACTGCTTCACGGTTGAAACACGAATGGGACAGAAATACCCAAGCAATCGACTTTTGTACAAAGTCTCCCTCTGGTATCACTACTATACAGTAAGGATGAGTAAAATGTATCAATATCTATATATTATAGTTAAAATAACCATACGTATACTGGTTCCATAACAGATATATTAGATATCAGTTCTCCAATATATGTATAATATTGAAATAAAGAATCCGCTCGTAATGAATATAGATGTCTGACTGGTATGGGCGGTATCGCAATGGATGGTCATCAGTGTTTAGAAAAACTCAATACACAGATATCAGATATAACATATCTATACCATTCTTTGGAATCAACTTCCAGCAACAGTATTTCGGAACCGATACGACAACATAACCTTCAAGAATAGAGTATATTCCTTTTTAAAAGGCCGGCAGCACACCTGCAATGTCTTTGGTGTTGTGCGTGATCATGGGCGGCGGTAGTCACTTACCATCAGGTGAGCCGCATGCTCGTTTGCTCCATGTGTTGTAAAAAAAATCTATAGTTTACATAATTATAGTATATAATAAATAATCAGTCCTGGAGCTATCAAATTATCATCATATCATTCTTTAAATGTCCACTGCTGAAGACAAGCCTTCATTTGGTGCAGCTAGTAGTTGCCGCGCTTGGCAGGCGGATTGGCAACCGCAGTCAGAGTTTAGAGATGTTTTAAGGGAGACGTTGCTGCCCAACCCTCGCTCTCCGGGGAGAATGGGATTGCTAGTAATGGGGTCTAACTGATCCATTACTAGAAATATACATATGTCAGGTCGAACTCCACGCGGTTCCCACTGGAAACCATCGTGGTTAATTCTAGTGGAATTCGTCACGATGGGCTAACTGACCTGTTTTCATAGTCACCTATCATCCCTCACTGGTGCCCCGCCAGCGTATACTGATAGCGCAGGCGGAGTTACCATTTCATTGTCACACATTTAAAAAGAAAACCCTCTCTCTCCCCCCTGCCCTCTTCGAGCATATCGTTAAATGTAAAATCAAATGTTTGTAGT